GTTAAATAAAATTTATATATAAATAGGCGGGAGTAAAATTTTTTTAAAAAATAAGTGAGTGGGTGGATGGGTTAAACGAATTTCAAAACAACGAATGGGAGGGATTTTTGCTATAAACCTGCCCATTACAGACCTCTAGGTGACAATTTTTATAGCTGAATTTTATTAATTTTAGTCTACTAAGAAATCTAAAAAAAAATCGGCACGAAAAAATTATAGAAATAATAAATTTCGTTGTAATATCTGCAACGTTGACCATTAGGTGTATAAAAATAGGACAAAATTATATTATTGTAAAAATTCGAAATACGATAGATAATTTCAAAATTTATATTCCGAATAACTTGAATATTCGATCAAATTATTTGAATAATATTTTAAATAAAAAGAATTATTTTAATATTTATTCCAGATTTTTGAGTTAAGTGTAAATATAAATAATCAAGACGGCGCTTATTTTATTAATTATTTTTTTCAATTTTAGCAGATATTATTGAAAATTCTTTTCCGAAGAAATTGAAGATTATTTTTTTATAAAAAATTAATAACTATTATATTTCTAATAATGATTATATCTAATTACTGAGACTACATGATTATTGCAAGGCTTCTACAAATTAGATTTATCATATCAGAATACAAGTTATTATTTTAAAATATCATGAATATAATGCTTATATTTTGGAAACTTGTAGTTCAATTTCTGTTTTTATATATGTAATTTTTAAAAAATAGAAAAATTCATAGAAATTTCTATTATTTACTAATATGATTTTTATATCCTTTAATTTGATATATATAATATCAAATGTAAAGATTACTATTATGGTTGCTATTGTATTGTATATTATACGTTTATCAACAATTTCAATATTGGAGAAAAGACATCTTTATCAAAGTGCATAGGAATAGGATCAAGTACTAAGAAATTAATTCTTAGTTTTATTATTAGGCCAAATTTTTATATTGATATAAAGGATTACGAAAATAGGTGTCGGAGTTCGCCAGATGACTCGTATCTGAAATTTAAAGATCTGTTGGATCATAGTTAGTAGAAGTTTATACTTTCTCTAAATGGTTGGAAAAAGATCGATTGAAGTCTAATTCAAATAATAAAAAGAAAGTTTTTTTTTTTAATTGCCGGATCCTTACTAATATTTAAAAAAAAATTAATTTGTGGGATAATAATAGAATTCAAAAAAATTATGTTTTTTTTTTCAGACTGATACAAATTAATGAATAAATTATATTTGAAAAAATATATTTAAAAAGTTAAATATTCTTATATAAGATTATTAAATACCTTAAATATATTCAAATACATTGTCATTATTTTCATTTAGTTTAATTATTCGGATGCCTATTTATTAATATTCCTTAAGTAACACGCTAGAGTCATTGTATTTAAATTTATAGTATGAAAATTATTTATTTTCATTGCCCGCGTACTCATTTACGAACGATATATTTTGATTTATCCTTACAAGACAGTTTATATATTAATTAACCATTGAGTTGTTTTTAAGAAATAATTTATAACTTCTAAAAATTTCATATATATTCACGATAATTAATTGTGGCATACCTTCAGTCATATAATAAAAATCAAAATTGCAATAATATTCATGTAATCAAATATGTTAGAACAAGTCGTATTTCTACAAAAGATTTGTTTTTTTTCTATTTAAGGAAAGTTTAGCATTAAAATTTTAATCTCGATGACCCATCCCTCATAAATGTCATTTGAAACAAGGTTTTAATTATAAAACTTTCGGGCTAGTTAAGTTTATGTGAAATTTAAGTTTAGGACCAGTAAACACATCAATTTTTAATTGGCTATAATTAACATTATAATCTGATATATTATATTTATTATTAAATAGTAGGAGAAGATGTCATTGGTAAGAATATTTGTTTTAAGAAAAAAAATTAAATTATATTTTATGAAAAAAATTAAATTATATTATAATTAAAAATATTATCTTAATAAAGAGGATATAAAATAAACTATATAAAATCTGAGAAAAATGATTGGAAGAATATAGGATGTAATAAATGAAATAATAGAAAAAAACAAAAATCCCCGAAAGATAGATGAAAATGTATTTTATATTAAATTGTCCATTTTAAAAATATCATCTTTGAGATATTTTGTTATATTTTTAACAATAAATTTTTTAACGTACATCTTTCGCTATTAATTAAACTATATTTTTATCATATCTATTTAAGGCCATTTTTCAACTTAAAGATTAAAAATCTAATTATGTTGCTATTACTTAAAGAATGAAAATAATATTAAATGGTATTCCATCTTTTCTTTCTTTCTTTGTATTTTTATTTGTAAATATGTAATTGTTTATAAGATTTCAATAAATATATGTAAATTGGTCAAATATAAAAAATATTTTAACAATTGTTTAACGACTCGAAATGAGCAGCTCTTTAAAAACGGTTAACGCAATATTTTAGCAAGAAAAATATTGCCTAAGCCTAGAGATTTTATTAATATATTTTTAAACCTTTGTGCCATCTATGAGCAAAATCTTAAGGATTGCTCATTGAGTTAAGAAATGAAGCTCATAAAATTGGATTAAATCGTATTTATAGCCTATGGCGAAGGTCATAATCTTCGCAGTATCAAAAATGCGCTTAGCAATCTAACATATTAGTTTAAGAGCTTTTTTAGCGTCGACTAGGGTTATAATGTCTGGCATCTATTCTGACAAGTCCATTATGCTTTAGTGTAGAAGTAATTGCAAAAGTTAAAACCCGTTTGAGAGTTTTGTTTTACTGGAATTTCGAAAACAGCCCTTCCATGACAAATTATCTGAAATATTTAGATGTATTCACACATACCTAGATTCATTTACAAAAAAATTATATTTTTTAATAAAAAAAATAAGAGGGTACTGCTGAAGAAATAAATATTGATCACACATTAACTTTTTAGGATTATGAAAAGTTATAATCTTTTAATCCCCCCCCCCCCTCCTCCTATATAAGTCTTTAAATTCTAGTTAAAATATTATGATATTACTAAAGTTTATAATTTATAATTGTATTTTTTAAAACAAGATTTGGAAGAATTTCCTGACGGTAATAATATTGTTAATAAAGATATAGAAACAGGGTTGTCAAGTCTATCACAATGACTTGTAGACTTATACAATTTTTTTTTAAAAGTTTATATATACCACAACTCTTCACAATTCTACCATATTTTTAATTTATTTACCCAAAATTTGCATAAAATTTTACACATTCTAAATATTTTTCACAAATAATGTTTTTGATATAATAATATTATGTATCATGCCAAAAATGTAAATTACCATTTCTAAAATTTATTAAGTTTTAACTGATAATCAATAAAAGAACACGAATTTTAAATGATTAATGGCCACAATATATTACCATATTTGTATAAATTTAAATGAAAAAGAATAAAAAGAAACAAAATATCCTCCCTTGATATTTAAAATATTTCATAAATAAATTAGTTTTTTTTAGCCTAGAAAATATTTTCCTTTCTAACCCAGCATGATGGCAGAGAAGAAGGAGATTGGAATAGAACCCCCAAAATATTTATTTTATGAAAATCTACCACAATCGAAATAATTTCTACCTGGCAACCCTTTATAGAGAAGTAAAAAAAAAAACTAAAACAAATAGGGCCAAATCATGACAAAACGTTTTTCAACACGATTTTATTATAAACCTGTAAATAACCAATATGTTTATTTTAAATATTAAACTATACAAAACAAATGTCGATAAATTATTATCCTCTTTGTTTGAAAATAAAGAAAATACCGGAACATGCCTTAAAAACCGCTTTGAAAAAATAAAATTTATGCGATAACTGTAATTGAAAGAAGGTTAGGCAGGAAAAAAATTAAGAAGAAAAGAAATATTTTCTATAAAAAATTTTCATTTTATCAAGAAATGGAAGAAGTAATTGTTCCGGGTAAGAATATTTATTTTGAAAGCAAAATTTTGTATTAATATCGTCATTTAAGAATATCAAATTTGCAATTCTGAATCAGTTATTTTATATGATTTACTGAAACTTTTTTACAATAAAACTTTAAGTGATTATTTCCCTTAACCTTTGAACACTATTTGTATAAGGATTAATTAATTATTGTGTAGATTTTAGAAATTAAAAAGTACAAAAATTTTCTTGATAAAATAATTTTGGAAATCCATAAGGTAGGTAGGTAAACATGCAAAAATAAATTTTTTGTCATGGATAACTTTAAATTTAAAAATCGTTCATATAGAGATTAAGAATCCCTATGAATTTCATATTCAGTTATGCCATAATATCTTTAAAAAAAAATATATATAAAATATGAGTAAGAAAGATGAACATGATAAATTTTGTAGGCTCAATGATTTATATTTATTATTATAAATTTATATCTATATTCATGAATAGCCTAATTATCATATAAAGTTTAGATGAAAAGCTTTTTAATCCCTTACCACGAACTTCAT